CTGAGTGTCCGTATGCGTTACTCTTTCCTCCTAGTTGTAGGACTTCCACTCAGCCAGCATTCCTGTGGTTCTGGATGATGTCCGTTCTGTCTTTTAGTTTCACTTTTGAAATGGTTGTTCAAGGCAGCAAATTCTGGCGTTAACCTATGCCGCCATCTTGGTTCTCCCCCATTCTCTTTTTCTAAAGAGCCTCTTTTTTTGTCACCGTAAATCTTCATTATGGAAATATTCCTGATATCATTACAAATTCCCCCCTCCCCATCCTCAAATAGTGAGTCTATCATAATAAAGAATAAAATTTAAGTTTGCCCTGGCTGAGCGACTCAGTTGGTTGGAGCATTGTCACGTACACCAAAAGGTTGTGGTTTCAATTCTCAGAGCACATACCTAGGTTGTGGGTTCAATCCCTGGTCAGGGTGCATATGAGGGGCAACTGATCAATATTTCTCTCTCACATCAATGTTTCTCTGTGTTACTGTCTCTCTCTCCCTCCCTGTCCTCTCTCTAAACATATCCTCTGGAGAGAGTTAAAAACAAATTCAAATTTATATATTTCTTTTTTCTTCTTAATGAAGTGTGTCCCCCTGAACATGCAGGTTTCAATTTATTGGGTTTCTTTCTTTAAAAAAATTGTATTGATTTTAGAGAGAAAGGGAGAAGGAGGAGAGACAGAAACATCAATGATGAGAGAGAATCATTGATCGGCTGCCACCTGCAGGTCCCACTGGGGATTGAACCTGCAGCCTGAGCATGTGCCCTGACCAGGAATTGGACTGGGAATTGAACTGTGACCTCCTGGTTTATAGGTTAATGCTCAACTTGAGTCACACCAGTGGGCTATATTTCTAGTTTGATTTATAACATACTGATACTTTATATTTATTACTTTCTGAAATATAGCACTTGATCTGTCTTTTAGTAGTTAGTTTAAATATTAAAACATGGAGCTTAATACATAAAATGATTTTCAAAATACCTATATTTTAGCACATTATACATTATAATTTTACAACTACATTTTACAGGAAGATAAACCAATAGTTAACTTGAAATAGAACATGGGTACTTTATTTTATTTTTAAAAAACTATTTCTTTTAAATATATTTTTATTGATTTCAGAGAGGAAGGGAGAGGGAGAGAGATAGAAACATCAATGGTGAGAGAGAATCATTAATCAGTTTCTTCCTGCACACCCCCTACTGGGGATCGAGCCCGCAATCCCGGCATGTACCCTTGCCTGGAATTGAACCTGGGACCCTTCAGTCCGCAGGCCAACGCTCTATTACTGAGCCAAACCAGCTAGGGCAGAACATGGGTACTTTACAATTTGGTTATAAGGTGGAAAAGGGAGATATTTTGATTGACTGAAGATATAATTTGAATGAGTGAGCACTATATAAACGAAATGAAGGGACTCACAATAATAGTAACATTTAATATACTTTCAGTCAACATAATCAGTAGGATTTTTGGGGATTGGATGATTGAGTCTACGTTTAATACGGTAGATCCTTGGGTTATGTCGGAGATCTGTTCTTACGGTGCGACGTAACGTGATTTTCACCATAAGTCGGAACCCACCTACGTAAGCACATACGTCACTCACATGGAGCACATACACAGCAGTACATAATGAAGTGAAACAGTAACAAAAATTTAAAAGAAAGATAACAATTTCTGACCTTTAATTGTGGTAAATAAATAATAAAAAACATAAAGCACATATGTACTTAGGTCGATATGAGGGAACTTTTTTTTTTTTAATAAATAAATGGGAGATGGCAACATAACCAAGAAACAATGTATGTCGAGTCCAACGTAACCCAAGGACTGCCTGTATAGGAGAATAACTTTGGAAGAATTGTCTAGAAATTTTTTAGGAGGATTAGTGAGTCAAAGAGTTGTTTTATATCTATATCTTCTATCTACACTAATAAAAAGAGAAAGGTGCAAATGGACCGTACCTTTGTGATGCCCACCAGCCAATCAGGAGTGAGTATGCAATTAACCCAACAAAGATGGCGGGTTAATTTGCATATGCAGGCACCGAGTGGGCAGGGGCGTTCTGCACCGCCCAAGCCATTCCAGGCCTCTGGGCAGCGTGGGAAGGTGGAAAGGCGGCTCCGGCTGGAGTGAAGGCGGTGCCGGCAGCCAGGGGAAGGAAGGCCCATTCTTGTATGAGTCTTCGTGCATTGGGCCTCTAGTATATATATAAAAGGCTAATATGCTAAGTATTCTTCCCACTGTCTAACTCAGGGGTGGGCAAACTTTTTGATTCGAGGGCCTCAATGGGTTCTTAAACTGGACCGGAGGGCCGGAACAAAAGCATGGATGGAGTGTTTGTGTGAACTAATATAAATTCAAAGTAAACATCATTACATAAAAGGGTACAGTCTTTTTTTTCCCAATGGTTTTATTCATTTCAAACGGGCCGGATCCAGCCCGCGCGCGGGTCGTAGTTTGCCCATGGCTGGCTAACTGGTCCCTATGATGTGCACTGACCACCAGAGGGCAGATGCTCAACATAGCTGCCGTGACACACACTTGCCATTTATAGAGCAGTGGCCGCGTGGTCCTGGCTGACAAAACAGCACTCGGCTTCCCCTAAGTGGGACACAGGCCCTGCCACCACCCAGAGCGATAGCCCACCAAATCACAGGCGTCACTGCCAAGACCCCATGGCCAGCCCGGAAACTGTTGCTGTGGGCACCGGGTAATGACGTCATGTAGCAACACCCAGCTTCCTCTCCCTAGCGACTAGCCTCCTTGCAGTTTCTTCAGCCCAGGAACACAACTTGCTTTATACCCAGATGGAAACATTTACACTTTAACCAATGTCTGTGAAGTGTTTTCACGTGTCTCATCTCATTTGATCCTCACAGAAGCCCTAGAGTAGGTAGATAGGAAACTCGGTGGAATCCTATTTTCTTTTCAATAGCCGGAAAACGGAGGTTTAGAAAGCTTAGAAACAACCCGACTGAAAAGAAGTAAGAAATGTTGGACCTTGAAAATGACTTCAGGTTTTCTCACTGCACAGACTATAGTCAAACACTGTTGCAGTTAAATATTTTACCCTTTGTTCTCTCTGCGTGATCTACAATAATAATCTGCTTCATGTTGATATTTACTGCTATGTTGCTGACAATTACCTGAAAGAGAAGTTGAGGCGCTTCACTGGGCTAGAAAAAGTTTAGCTAAATCAGAAAGCAGGTCTAATTAAGCAAGTTTATTCTATATCTATAAAAGGCTAAGTTGACTCGTGCATGCATGATATATCTAAAGCTTTCACTGGTGCCAATTGCATGGGTGTGTTTCGTTGTAAGTTATTTATTACATGTTCTTACAAGCTAATATCTTTTTAAAGTATGATACTTTGTAAAACCTTTTTTGTACTCGTTCAATAGAAACTTATCTGGCCACTGGGTAAAGCTAGCAATAAAACTGGTGCGCAGTGTGTTAAAATATTTCTTCTAATTATTTTCCTTTCAATGTGCACGAATTTGTGCACCGGGCCACTAGTAATTTAATAATATTTTTGTTGTCAAGTCAATATGCTAGTGAAACAGGATTAGACAAGTAGAACCTAAGGCTGTACTGTCCACATCTGGCTTTGAGAATTGGAAATGTGCCTGTAAGTGTAAATATACTTAATTTCAAAGATGGGTACCAAAAAAAAAAAAAAAATAAGCCCTACCTGGTTTGGCTCAGTTGATAAAGCGTCAGCCTGCGGACTGAAGGGTCCCAGGTTCGATTCCGGTCAAGGGCACGTACCTCAATTGCAGGCTCCTCCCTGGCCCGGCCCTGGTCAGGACTCCTGCAGGAGGCAACCAGTCAATGTGTTTCTCTCACATCAATATTTCTCTGTCTTTCCTCTTCCCACTCTCTCTAAAAATCAATGGACAAATATCCTTGGCTGATGATTAAAAAAAAAAAGCTTATCAAAAAAAGGAATGCAAAATATAGCACTAATAGGTTTTTTAAATATCTAATACATGATTAAATTATAATATTCAGGATATGTTTTGTTAAATTAATCACCTTGGCCCTGGCTGGCTTGGCTCAGTGGATAGAGCATCGGTCTTTGGACTGAAGGGTCATCACCTGTTTGCTTTTACATTCTTTTTCTTTTAAATTTTATTTTATTGTTGACAGTATTACAGATGTCTCCCATTTTCTCGCTTTTTGCCCCCTCCACCCAACTCCCACTCTACCCCAGGCCTTCACCATGTTATTGTTTGTGTCCAGGGGTTATGCATATATGCATATATATTCTTTGGTTAATCTCCTCTTGTCCCCTCCCCCCAAACCCCCACCATGATAAAGGTGTGTTATTCTGTTCCATGCATCCATACCTCTGGACCTATTTTGTTCATCAGTTTATTTTGTTCTTTAGATTCTACTTATAAGTGAGATCATATTTGTTTTTCTCTAACTGGCCTATTTCCCTTAGCATAATAGTCTCCAGGTCCATCCATGCTGTCTCAAAGGGTAAGAGGACCTTCTTTTTTATAGCTGCATAGTATTCTATTGTGTAAATGTACCATAGCTTTTTTATCCACTCATCTAGTGATGGGCACTTGGGATGTCTTTAGATCGATCTATTGTAAATAAAGCTGCAATGAACATAGGGGTGCATATAGTATTTCTGAATCAGCACTTGAGGGTTTTTTAGGATATATTACTAGAAGTGGAATCACTGGGTCATAAGGCAGTTCCATTTTTAATTTTTTAAGGTAACTCCATACTGATTTCCACAGAAGCTGTACCAATCTGCATCCTACCAAAAGTAGACAAGGGTTCCCTTTTCGCCACAGCCTCACCATCACTTGTTTGTTGATTTATTGATGATTGCCATTCTGAAAAGTGGTGATAACTCATTGTAGTGTTAATTTGCATCTCTCTGATGATTAATTAGTGATGTTGAGCATTTCTTCATGTGTCTATTGGCAATCTGTATATCCTCTTTGGAGAAGTGTCTATTCAGGTCCTTTGCCCATCTTTTAATTGGATTGTCTTCCTGGTGTTGATGGTTATGAGTTCTTTGTATATTTTGGAAATTAAATCCTTATCAGATGTATCATTGGCGAATGTGTTCTCCTATTGAGTAGTTTCCCTTTTCATTTTGTTGATGGTTTCTTTTGCTGTGCAGAAGCTTTTTAGTTTGATGTTCTATTTGTTAATTTTTTCCTTTGTTTCCCTTGCCCTACGCCAGTGGTTCTCAACCTTCTGGCCCTTTAGATATAGTTCTTCATGTTGTGACCCAACCATAAAATTATTTTCGTTGCTACTTCATAACTGTAATGTTGCTACTGTTATGAATCGTAATGTAAATATCTGATACGCAGGATGGTCTTAGGCAACCCCTGTGAAAGCGTTGTTCGACCGTCAAAGGGGTCGCGATCCACAGGTTGAGAACTGCCGTAGGCATTGTATCAGTGGAAATAACAGCTATATGCTTTTGCATTCTTTCATGTGGCTACTAGAAAATTTAAAATTATGTTTGTGGCCCTAACTGGTTTGGCTCGGTGGATGGAGCGTTGACCTGCGGACTGAGGGGTTCCAGGTTCGATTCCGGTCAAGGACATATGCCTTGGTTGCGGGCACACCCCCAGTGGGAGGTGTGCAGGAGGCAGCTGATCGATGTTTTCTCTCATCGATGTTTCTAGCTTTCTATCCCTTTCCCTTCCTCTCTGTAAAAAAAAAATCAATAAAATATATTTTTTAAAAAATTACATTTGTGGATTACATTTCAGTTGGGTAGGGCTGGTCAGGAGATGATGATGTTACTAATTATAATGATAGCAGTTAAGACTTTGTGAATGCATTTTTCCATGTAAGCCACTCATATTAATTAAGTTAAGCTATTTTAAAAAATCATGAGATCAGTACTACTATTATTTCCCAATTACCAATGAGGAAATTGGGGCAGGAAAGCTTACTCATTCCTATGAAAACTGCCTGCTTGAAGAGATATTTGTATACTGATGTTCATTATTCACATTAGCCAAAAGATGGAAGCAACCAAAGTGTCTGTTAGCGGATGAATGGGTAAACAAAATGTGGTATATACTTACAATGGAATATTATTCAGCCTAAAGAAGGAAGGAAATTCCGACACATGGTACACTATGGTTGAACCTTAAGGATATTAAGCTAAGTGAAATAAGCCATTCACAGAAAGACAAATACTCTGTGATTCCACTTCTGTGAGGTACCTAGAGCAGTCAAATTCATAGAGACAGTCTCAGATTACACTCACTGACTGGGAAGGCCAGTAGACAGGGGGTTTGTGCTGAACTGTGCAGATCAAAGGCCCTGGAGTGCCTTTGCTGCAGACACTCATTTTCTTTTTTTTTAATATATTTTATTGATTTTTTTACAGAGAGGAAGGAAGAGGGATAGAGAGTTAGAAACATTGATGAGAGAGAAACATCGATCAGCTGCCTCCTGCACACTCCCCACCGGGGAGGGGATGCACCCGCAACCAAGGCACATGCTCTTGACCGGAATCGAACCTGGGACCCTTGAGTCCGCAGGCCAGCGCTCAATCCACTCAGCCAAACTGGTTAGGGCTCATTTTCATCGTCATTCTGAGGGAAGTCTTCGAGAACCAGGTGGTTTCCAAGAGCTGGGTAGGAAGGGGGATTAGGGAGCTGCTCTTTAATGAGTATAGAGTTTCAGTTTTGCAAAACGAAAAAAATTCTGGAGATTGGTTGCACAACATTGTAAATGCACTTAACATTACTGAATTGTACACTTTAAAATGGTTAACATGGTAGATACGTTGTATATCTTTTTAAAAAAAATACATTTTAGCCGAAACTGGTTCCCCCTTTAGGGGATCGAGCCTACAGCCCAGGCACGTGCCCTTGACTGGAATCAAACCTGGGACCCTTCAGTCTGCAGGCTGACACTCTATCCAATGAGCCAAACCAGCTAGGGCAGTGTATGTATATCTTAACTACAGTTACAAATTGTTTTTTCAGCCTGAAATAGATTTGCAGGTAACTAATTTTGTCAATAGTTCGAATCCTTTAGAATTAACTTCCCTTTAATTTTATACACAATCTTTTATTTACCATTTGATTTCTCTTTGCTATTTGACCCTCGTTTTCACGTGCTATGCATACTTATATCTTAGATTTTTTTTTCAGTAATTAGTTCAAATTGCATAGTTTTAGAATAGAAAGAGTAAAAGGATTATTTTCATTTTATTCTTTTTTTTTTCTTTAAATATATTTTATTGATTTTTTACAGAGAGGAAGGGAGAAAGATAGAGAGTTAGAAACATCGATGAGAGAGAGACATCGATCGGCTGCCTCCTGCACATCTCCCACTGGGGATGTGCCCACAACCCAGGCACATGCCCTCCACCAGAATCGAACCTGGGACCTCTCAGCCCGCAGGCCGACGCTCTATCCACTGAGCCAAACCGGTCTCGGCTCATTTTATTCTTAAAGTTAGATCTTATTGCTGAAATTTTCTTGTTGAATAAGACCAAGAATAGAAAACATTTGGTAAACATACAGTACAAGCATGATTTACTGGATCATAGTTGATTGTAGTTAGTCTTTGGTACTTATGTAATAAATAATAGGAAAAAATTAATTTTACCTTTTCTCAAGAGTTTCAGGTGACATCAAAATACTCTTTAATATCTACAAACTAGAATAAAACCATTAAAGAGAAAAGACAAGGTATTAAAAAGAGTGTAAAGCACTATTTTCTCTAAACTTCAGCAGTATAAATATTCCAGATAAAAGTATATATTCTCATTTTTAGAGTATTTTGCTATTTTGGGCTTTAGGAACAAGATTGTAGTGTTAAAGATATTTCTCAGTTCCTTTCATTTGTTATTAAATGCTGTGGAGTGAGTGATCAAATTACTAAGTGGAACAGTTCTCGAAAAAATTGCACATAGTTCAAAGAATACATCTTTATTTTTGTAATCATCATTGTGTATTATTTATTGTAGATTAAATACTTCTCACTTTATGTGACAAGTATAGAGGTTAATGTTCTAGAATTATTCTTTTGGAAGGACAAAACTCTTCTGTTTGTTTTTATAAATAGGATGCAGGACAAAAAAGATTTGGAGCAGTATCCTGTAATGTTTGTGGCATGCTTTACACAGCTTCAAATCCTGAAGATGAAACACAGCATCTGCTCTTCCACAACCAGTTTATAAGTGCTGTAAAATATGTGGTAAGTGGAATTCATGCCTTCTAAGACAGATTTTGAAGAGATGAACAGCTAAATTTAAGTCTGAAAATTTTCCATCTCTTGGAAATGATACTATATACAGAGCCTTTGTATATATACTGGCTTATTTTAAAACAAAGCCAAACATAAAAACCAGCTAATTTGTCTGGTTTATGTTGTGGGATTTTTAATTTAAGTTGTATTTTTAAGGTAGTTAATGTATCTCTTCTAACAAGTAATGCTATTCAAGTTGAGTATTTTTAAAGATTTCTTTAATAATTTTTAAATTATTAAAGATTTTAATAATTATTAGCTATTGATCAGTCAGTTTAATATTATATGGCTCGACATAATATTTTTACTTGGGGATTCATGGTGATATATATTATACCAAATAGATGGTTTGGGGATTTCCTTTGCCTTTTCTCTTATTTGCTATTATGAGAGGTTTTCTTTATCAAATTAAAAAAGAAAGTTAAGACCTCAGATTTTGTAATATACTAAAAAAGATCCCACAAAGTAAATGTTTTAGTACATATTTTTTAATGTATGTACACTTTAGGTATAATGGGTATTGTTAAATATTTGTTTCTGTAAATAGCAAAGTTTTCAATAATTTTGAACCATTTTAGATATTTTATGAAAATAGTAATTTAATGTAATTGTTGTTTACCTGTATCTGAAATAGAATCTACCTGAAATGGAATATATTTCTGTTCTATACATGTTACCTTCACATTAATAAGACCTCCAGGATATCTGAACTGAGTTCACCAATTCATTTCATGTAGGCTTTTTATATATATGTACCAGATGTTGAATTATTTAAAGGTTTTTCTTGACTTTAGTTAAATTTGTATTCTTATCTTTGGTTGAGGGGTTTATATTAATTGTTTCATTTATCCAGTTACTTCTACCCAAGATATATGGGGTTTTCTTTTTTATAGTTCCTTACTGTGGCGATCCTTTATATTCCTTATTTCATCTGCCTTTTTTGCACCTCCCCCCCCTCCTACCACTTAACTAAATAAAATATAAGGTGTATGGACATAGGATATTTATAGCTTAGATATTGGCTTTTCATTTGAAATTTGTATTTTTCCATTTTGACTATATTAATATCCTTACAATTTGAAAAGAAAAAGTTATATCGGGTAGCTAAATTATAGAGTACTTCTGGGGTAAAAATATTTCAGTTTATTTTACACATGTGAATCTGATAGGAGTTAATTTAAATTAAATGCTCAATTTACATTATTTGATTATTGTCATCAGTTTCCTAAAATTATAAGAGATTAGGTTTAAAAAGCTTAATTCTTCATCTTAGGGGAATTTCTTAATTTCTGAGAGAAACATTGAAGAATTCAGGAAATATGTACTCTGTTTTCCACAGTACCAAGGGAAATTGGTTTATCGAGAAAGATGGAGTCATCACCTTCTAATTAAATTCTAGATCTTGTAAACTGTAAAGCAGTGTGGCAATTTTGGGAAAATTGATCTCTGCCCCAGTTTCCCTCCTTCTCCCCCTTCTCCCTTGATGGGACAGAGCTATGGGTTATTTATTTTTGAAATAAACTTAAGAGAAGGAATTGAGTTTAGCAGTTGGCCATCCTTTGCTAACATCAAGGTTATTATTCTTACCTTTTGCTTTTTTCAAATGTAGGTAAACATAGAGTCTAAGGTAGAAACTCCTCCAAAACATTGTAGCTTTTTTTTTTTTTTAATTGGATGGAGAGAGAACAAAAACATATCTAGATTAAAGATGTTCTGCTGTGCTCACAGCTCTGGATTATAGTTTGTGACATTAACCACTTATATTGGGTATCTAGTATTGTGCTTTAGCATTAAGCAGTCTTTTTCTTTTTTGTTAAGATATAATTGAATATTAAGCACTCTTTTTTAAAAAAAACATATTTTTTTTTTAAAAAATATATTTTACCTACTCTATGCTAGGCACGATGGACTCCTCCTCATCTGCACACAGACCCTGTCCAGCAGGGAACAGCATCCCCACTCCTGAGGAGCAATGTGGGCTCAGAGAGGTTAAGTTATCAGCTAAGGACACACAGCGTTTAAGGGGAGGTTGGGGAAAAATAGTTTTACCATGAAAACCGCGGACTGAGGAAATCATCCAGTCCTGGGCACAGCGTGTCACCTCTGACACGCATGTCACAGGTTCACCATTTTTATTGATTTCAGAGAAGAAGGGAGAGGGAGAGAGAGAGAAACATCAATGATGAGAGAGAATCATTGATTGGCTGCCTCCTGTATGCCCCCTACTGGGGATTGAGCCCGCAAACTGGGCATATGCCCTTGACCGGAATCGAACCTGGGACCCTTCAGTCCACAGGCCGATGCTCCACTGAGCCAAACCAACTAGGGTGAATATTAAGCTCTCTTAAGTGTTTGACAAAACAACTAAATATTTTTAATGCCAATTATCTTTGTGTTGTGTTTGTTTCTTGGAGAGAAGCACATAGAAAATAAGTCATTTGGGTGCTCTGGCTTTAATTCATTTTAAATAGACAGTATTCAGGGACCTGAAATAAAGGTTTGTTCTACTTAAAAACAGAATAAATGAGAAAAATGAGTTTTTCTTTTAAATGTTTAACTACACATTCTTTAGAAAAATAAGTTAAGTAGCTTTTTCTTAGGGTAAAATTTTTTCCTTTAGACATTGTAAATGTCTATGATAGTTAAAAATGGCCAAAGACCTGTTTTCAAAAGATTAAAATATTATTAAAATTAATAGTTATAGTAGAAAGTGATTCTCATAGAACCCATTTTTGGTTGACTAATATATTTCCTTTTCTTTATCCTCTTTGGTTTGGGGTTGGGGAGAGAGTGATGGTGCACTTTTTATTCCTTCATTGTACACATCTGCCTCATTGACACCATTTGAGGAAATGCATTTTATCTGATTTATTAGAAACTATTTAGGAAGGAGCCTCTTAATGCTTCAGAAGTACATACTGCTTCTTGAAAGGCCTTTTCATATGAAGTTGGTTGGGTAAGACAACTGGAGCAACCAGTTAAGCTCATTCCTTCTGTGCTTATTATTTAAAGCTCCTAGTTTTAACCTCTGGTTCAGTCCCATCTTACTAGATTTAAGTGGCTTTTGTTTTGTTTTGTTTTTCATGCAGGTTCTGCTCATTAATCACCACGAGTGTGGATCTGAAGAAGAGTTTATTACCTCTCTTTTTTTGAGTATGTTTAACTTCAGATACACACAACGTAGCCTCTCCTTCCCTATTAGATTCTTAGAAGGTAGTTATATTTTTACAGTCTCCTTCTTGTGACTTTGATAGTTGTGACCAATAAGAATAAACACTTATTCCTTACATGTTGTGCTACTGCATGCAAATCAGTTCATTTAAAACCTCCTGGAGGTCTTTGGCATGCTAGACATAAAACCATGAGTGTGTGTTTGTGGAGGTAACCATGTTCCAAAGAAATTTGGGTTTCTTTCTTTTATCAAGAAACTAGGAGAGTTATCTTTTAGGTTTTGGGAATCATTGACTTTTAAGGGGCTTGCTTTTGGTGTGTGATTTTCAAAATTAATTAAATGGGAAATGATAAATTAAAAATAGCCTTGTGGTATCTCTGTGTGAGTAGTATAAAGATATTAGCTTGCATTGTACCTATTGTATGCTTAACAAAATTGCTGATTTATCTTGTCATTAGTTAAACATTAATAAGCATATAATTTTTTCATGTTTGCAATTTTTAGACACATTGATATTTTTTCTTCTTGTACATGAATATGATGAATGAAATGTACATAAAATTTCTTCTTTTGTTTTAATCTAGGGCTGGAAAAAAGAAAGGATTTTGGCTGAATATCCTGATGGCAGGATAATAATGGTTCTTCCTGAAGACCCAAAGTATGCCCTGAAAAAGGTAAATTTCTAGTGAAATTTCTTGTAGAATGGCTAAAATAATTTTGCAGCTAATTTTAAGAGAATAACACATTCTAGCATAGCACATTTAAACCCCAATTCTGAAAACAAGAAATAAGCATTTAAAGAATAAAACTCAACTAAAAAATCATGGTTAAACTGTAGTGTGTCCAGCACATGTGAACTGAATTTCCAGTGACTTGATTACTATTCTATATCATTAGTAATTTGAGTGATGGTACAGAAAGCATGCTAGTTAATTAATAATGCCTCACAATTTTAAGAATCAGGATTAAAATTGAAATTTGAATCATAATTTAGAAAACAAAATTAATGTGAATTTTCATTCTGAGAATAGATTTCTAAATAAAAACTTATTGCAGAGGGAATCTAGTAGTAGGTTTTAGTAATCCTGAAATTAAGCATGAGATAGTCATATGTTAAGAGAAAAAGAACAAGATACATTTGATCTGGTAAATACAGAGTGGGCCAAAAGTAGGTTTATAGTTGTGAGTATGGGAAACACAGAGTTTATTCTTGTATTATCATCATTGTATTTTCTGTACGAACAACTATAAATCTTCTTTTACCAACCTTGTATAACATAGCAAACTTAATCCTCATATCTAGTGTGAGCCAAGTTTTAGTGCAACTTAGAATTCTATATTTTAAGGGTTCAAAGAAATGAACCAGAGAAATAATGAAATCTGTAACCATTTCATTATATAGAATATCTTACAAGTCAGGGAACAATAGGATAAACTTATTTTAAGTAATACGTTAATTAAATTTCAAATAATATGTTCAATATGTTTTTCTTCAGTCTCCAGAAATTTCCTCATAATGTAAAGCAATGAGTCCAGGCATTTATTTGAAAAGCTTAATTACACTAGACTGTGTCCAGAATTTCTAGAAATAAAAGGAAAATAATATACTTTTTTTAAGGTTAACAATGGGACCTCTTTAAATTTAGGAATACTTCACCTAAAAAGGAGATTAAGGAAAATACTTTGAACCTATTATTTGAAAATTTAGCTGACATTCTACTTAAAGTTTATCCTGTGGTTCCTGACTTTTCAGATAACACTGTATATATGACTGGACAATCCCAGTTGCCCAAATAAACTTCCATTTTACCACTGCCTAACAAGTATAGACTAGCATTTAGAATGACATGTAAATATGCCACCTGTCTTTGAAACATTGATCCTTGCATAAAAACAAATACTTGTTGAACTAATGTTGGATTAATGATTGACTTAATGAAAATCAAATTATGGAAATTTTGGAATTCCAACTATGATCATTTAGAAACACACAGTGGGAACTTTGCTAAAAAATCATATATGGCATCCAGACTTTTCTTATTAGTAAGACTACTCAGTAAATGCTAATTTCCTCTTTAGTTTCTCAGGGCAAAATCTTAACCTACAATTCAGTATGTTACTAATTAATAACCCATAATAGGCTAAAAATTAAAATCTGGGCTATTGTGAGTCATTTACCTTTAGGAATCAAATAAGGAATTTTGAGATACTGTTCCAGGAATAGGAGTTGGGTTTTCATCATTAATCATTAAATAAGGGATGTATTATGTGGTATTCTGTAACTCAGAGATGTGAATATTTAACCCTATTAGGGGTTATTTGCATTTTAAATTTAGTAGCACAAATCCATGTTTAGTGGACTGAATATTTGCAGATTATTTTGTAACTGGAAAAGATACTAATCTTTAAGTGCCTACAAAAATCTGGACTTTGAGTTCCTACAAAGGTTTGAGCTTATCATTGACTTTGACCACAGTTCTAGGAGGTAAACTAAAGGAAGCACAGTTTGATGCCTTATTAATATTAGGGGTTCAAATCCCTGCTCCTTGATTTTCTAGATGTTCAGTATCTGATATGGGAAAGTTGCTTAATTTTGAATTTTATTGCTTCCATAAGTAAAGTGTGGAACCATAGACCTCTAAGAGATGTTAAATTTAAGTGAGATAGTATTCATAACTTTGCATAATGTCTGGCCTATAAATGGTTAATGAGTAAATGTGTTTCTTTTCTCTGTGCCCACTTCATTTTACTGATGAGAGTACTAGTTAAGGCTTGGAAAGGAAAGTGGCTTTCCTGGGTAACATTCCAGTGAAGTTCTCTCTCTGATGCTTCCTAATGGGGAGCCTTAATGTTTTCATTGCCTCTCATTTTTCTTGTTCCCTAAACTGGGCTTAGCATCACTCTGCAGTTTTCCCCCTCATTTTGTAAGTTGGTCCACAGGGTTTGAAAAACAGTTGTTGGTAGCACATTCATTCAAAAGAACTCATTAGAGCAGTGGTTCTCAACCTCCCTAATGCTGCGACCCTTTAATACAGTTCCTCATATTGTGGTGACCCCCAACCATAAAATTATTTTCATTGCTACTTCATAACTGTAATTTTGCTACTGTTATGAATCATAATGTAAATATCTGATATGCAGGATGTATTTTCATTGTTACAAATTGAACATAATTAAAGCATAGTGATTAATCACAAAAATAATATGTAATTATATATTCAATATGTGTTTTCCGATGGTCTTGGGCGACCCCTGTGAAAGGGTCATTCGACTCACAAAGGGGTCGTGACCCACAAGTTGAGAACCGCTGCATTAAAGGATGTCCTCAGAATGATATACCGTATTTGCCGGCGTATAAAACGACTGGGCGTATAAGACGACCCCCTAACATTTCCACTCAAAATACAGAGTTTGTTATATACTCGCCATATAAGACTACCCCGTCTTCCGCACACCTTCCACACACCAAATAAAAGTTAAACAATATCAGATTTGATTTTAACATTTTAATTTATATTCAAATGCTTCTGACATGCAGGAAAACTGTCACAAGGCTGTATGTAATCAAACATATACATAAAACAGTGCAAGTTTATTACCGGTAAACATACAGGTAATTCCAG